TTAGTCTCTCGAATTTTCCTGCTGACTTTATTTTTTAAAATTGCTTGTCTATAACTTGTTTCCTGACATTTCATTTAATTATGCAGCTAATATATTAGTTTTCGTTCTTGATTACTCGTTGTTAAAATATAAATATGAGATTTTATCATCCTGCCTTTCAGATAATTCTTATTATACATTAAAGTTGTTCTTGCTGATATCATTACATTACACTTAAGTCTTTCACTTTACCAGAAACGTACATCTTTATATATTATTATTGGTTAAATGTGTGTAAATTGTATTGCGGGCATTTATTTGTTGCATTAATCGTATTATCTGATTCAATTTCCTGTTAATTCTAAGAATTCTCAATCATAATCCTAAATTTCAAGTATATGGGTGGGTTGCAGTTCCAATACAATGTACCAAATCATTGCTTATTGTTAAGATGCTTTCAAACTACTGATATTGATATTCAGTAGGCATGATGTATTATGGTAAACCATTAAATTGCACTTTTGTCTACTTAATCGACTGCAAACCTATTAACTCCCATTCATCTACGTATATATACCGTACATTGTATAAAATATATGGTGAATTATGTGTTATAGTACGACAATTCTAATTTATTTTCCAAGTTGATTTACAATGACACATTATTAATATACACCATTATTCTTTGTGAATTCTACTCTTGTTATCTATTAATTAACGTATAAAAGTCTACATATATTCATATATGACATCTATGAAGCTGGCTTTTTTCTCTATGTCTATTCTTTTAATTATTTGTGTTTAATATATATATATACTTCTTAATATCAAATAAAGATTTATCTGTTCTGCTAATTCACCATATTTTTTCACAAAAATAACTGAACAAAGAGATATTGGAGAAAGATAATTGTGTATTAAGTAGTGACAAGCCGAAACCCGTATATACGAACGAAAAAGATAACCGTTTGCTGGTTGATAACTTGTCAGCGCTTCCAAACTTCAACTGGTTTCTCGACTGATTTCAATACTCTTACACTTTATAATTAAGAGATTGACTTGGTAGTTAAGTTTTAACATTCAACGTTATTATTAACGAAAGGACTGGTCAAAATGTCCAATTTTGTATGAGATATTGTCAATATGCGATGTGAATACTATGATCGTTTAAATTATTAACATCAGTGCAAAGCAGGTATCCATACCAAGGTTGGACTTCATAGTTTCAAATAAATTGAGTATTGTGTAGAGAATTAATAATAAATATATTTGTGTCATATTACAATGAGTAGAAAAATCGTATTTCTGACGTTTCGTGGCTTAATTTAAGCCACTTCTTCAGAGTAAATAAACGACCGATATTAACTCAAGTTTACATAGCACAAAGGAAACAGTGCAAAATATTTTTAGTACAATTAAAATCATATTAGGTCTGAATATGTCAATGTGAAATTATTCTTGCATGGCCTGTCACTGTACTAATTTGTGTGTCACAATGTAGGCATGAGAGATGTACACATTTGTGATATGAAGTAGTAGGTTGAGATTGTGTGTGTAAAAATAAAGTCGGATGTGGTTGTTTGGAAAAACAGTTCAGGTTGAATGAATCATTCAGGCCTTCATTCCTATTTAGGGTAGTGGGATTTAGCATTATGTGAAACGCTTTAGCTACTCGCATCTCTTTGTGGTCAGAAAACCCTTTCTGAATTATCTTGATATTTTTAATATCAATTTGGTGAATATGGGAAATAACATGTACTGCTATTGCTGATTTGTGTATTTTCCAATTTTAGAGAATTATTAGGTTTTTGTGTAACTTAAATGTTCCTTGGTACGGGTCGAGATCTTACGGGGAGATTCTCCAACATTGAACGCATCACAATCGATACAGCCTAATCTGTAGACAATTTTGAGTGGAAGTGAACGGATACCTATCTCTATTTTTAACTAAAGCGTCTCCTAATGTGTTAGTTGTCTTATAGAAAGCTTCTAATATCCGCTGCAATTCTTTTGTACCGTGGTGGTAAGGTAAAACTACGGTACTAATACATGAAATTTCATTAGGTTTTTATTTACCGAAGGACAGTTTTGTTTTAATGTTTATGGTAATATTTTTGGGGAAATTGTTAGAACGTAGGACGTTTGTTGTATTCTCTTTTTCTTTCAGCTTGTCTTCTTCTGAGGTAATGTTTTTTGGTTGCCTCTCGGAGAGTGAGATGTAGAGCCGGGGGGGGAGTTTATATATAATCTCATCTACATCTATATACTATCAACTACACTAATGTGTGCGCGTATCGAGAGAACAGGTGGTCTGAAGTAGTATTTGGCGGGCGTTGTGTGGGTTGGAGTGATATACTATGATTATGTGGTGCGGGCCGGGGTTTTTCGGTGTAGGGGTAGCTTTCATTAGAGCGGGGGTTCCTGTTCGACCAGGAACTTTTGGAGAGAACGGATGTGGTCGGGGGGGCGCACTAGGTTGGGGGTGTCGGGGGGGGGGGGGGCGTGGGCGGCTTGTGTGACGTATGATGTGTGGGGGAGGGGTGATGGGGTGTGGGTGTGTGGAGGGTGTGTGTAAGATAGGGTGTGTGGGGATTTGTGTGGGGGAAAGAAGGGGGGGTGGGGGGGGGGTAAATTGGTGGGGGGGGGGTGGGTTGGGAGAGGGTGGGGTGTGGGGGGGGGGGGGTGGGGGGGGTGGAGGGTATGGTTGGGGGGGTGTGGGGGGGTTGGGGTGGGGGGTGGGGGGGGGGAGAGGGGGTGGGGGAGGGTGGGGGGGGGGTGGAGGGTTAGGGGTGGTGTGGTTGTTGGGGGGGGGTGGTGGGGGTGGTTTGGGGGGGTGGGGGGGGTGGGGGGGGGGGTGTTGGTGTGATGTGGTTGTGTGTTTTTGTTTGTGGGGGGTTGTGGTGGGTGTGGGTAGTGGTTGTTGGTGGGGTGGGATGAGGGGGGAAGGGGGGAGGTGGTTTAGGGGTGTATGTGAGGGGGAGGGGGTGGGTAGAGGTTGTTGGGGAGGTTTTGGTGAATAGTTAGGAATTTGTAGGAGTGGAGTAAATTGGAGGGTTAATTTGGGTGATTGTTGTGGAGGGATTTAGTCTATTATAGGGTATGAATGTATAAAGTAGATTGTGTGTTGGGAATGGAAGCATTTCAATGCGTCAAAAAATGTAGCGACTATTCAAATTCAGACACGGGACTTAATTCCAGCTAAAAATAGCCGCAACCACTTAGGGATCTTTAAATACTATCATTATTACTAGGCATAATCAAACACACATAAGCTGATTTCCAGAAACTGAACGCCACCGCATTAAATGGTAGCTTGATTTATAAACATTTAGATGAAGGCATTTAACAACTGGCTTAAGCAAAATTCATATCAATGCCATCGCAATCGTACCCGATTTTCATCAAACTCGATATGTCAAGCCAAAACTTGGTACTAGTAGTAAATGAACGTAACTAATTCGCAGACTCGCTCTCCACTATAATCCGTCTTTCTAAAAGCTATTAGCCATCCACAGAAGGAGGTTATATAACGCTTTCTTTTTTTAGATAAGCTCGTGCTCGAAGTATGTGATTCTATTCAAAGATGTCTCCAAATATCTCAACAGTATAAAATATTGCAGCACATACACGAAAGTATCGAATGGTCACCTATCACTCCTTCGCACTGCTGATCATCTAATCTATAGCAGCGTAATTGTTTCATTTTTTTACTTCGCTGTAGGATCACATGACAACTCTACTCCCCTAGTTCCATATTGATCCAACAACACCGTGTCCCAATCATCGTAGGAATCTTTGACATAACGATACATTTCTAGTCAATATTTTCAAGTAGGCAAATGTAAGCACACGGAGGGTGAACACCAAGGTTTATGTAGCTATGTATTGGGATAACTTATAAGTTGAAACGTCCATTTTCTAACCAGTGTCACAATCCCTAAATTAGCTTCATCTACTTTAGTTTAGTCAGCTGTTTTCGGAGATAGTTTTCACGAAAATCGATGGCAAGTACAGACATTATATGATATAGAATACCAATTCCAAACTACACATATCTTCCCGTACCACTAAAACAATTAGTCCGTCCAATACATACCTCGAGGGAGATCAGAGAAATATTTTTTAGTACATTAGGGTAAACCAACCTTATTTACTTCAAAGTTTACCCCTCATTTATGATAATACACTTAAATCATTACTGAGGGCATTCTCAAAAGTCCATAAAAGTCAGACCTAGCTGCTTCGTCGTTTCACATCTAATCATCCTATGCATGATTATTTTACACTGTGAACGAAACCAAAATACAGGGATTCAAGTCTATCGAGTAAGTAGTGTGACCTAGTTAGGTGATTGGATCGGGAACCTGAAACTTCTAAACAATCACTAACTCAATGTATAACAAAGTCATACTAGGAAAATTTTATAAATGTTTGTAAAACATAATTTATTATTCGTCATAAAAAAGAAAACAATTCATGATATAAATATTCAATCAATCGTATGATGATAAGTATTACTATAAACTTATACATTACAATATATTGATTGTGATTGAGTCTTCAGATTCTCTGAAATACATAACTGGATGGAGAAAATAAACAACAATGTAAACACAGGGAAGTAATTGTGACAAACAAAAAGAATGAACAAAGGAAGGGAAAATAAATTACTAAATGATATAAATAGGCTGCAAAACTATAAATGTAAAAAAATAATACAATTAAGAAATATGTACATATATATACAAAAAAATATGTTCCGGTATTGAAGAATAACGGACTGTTTTTATATACATCTAGAAAAATTTTGAAAGAAAAAAAACAAGGAATATATATGACACTGCTAAGTTAACGTTACAACAAAATTATATAAATGTGAAATAATATCAAGCTATTATTCACTATCTTCATAGGACGTTTTGGGAATCACAACCTAATCATGAATATAAACTGGGGTGCTCTTGTCAAATATTTTCTGTATATATATAATAGAATTAGGAAATTAAAAGTAAAATATAACACTACCATAAGTCAGCAGCTGATGTACCAGACACATATTCATAACTCAGTAATTCATCAACAGATGCTCTTTCTAAATGATTTCGAACTAAACTCCGTTCTAATGCCTACAACGAATTAGAAAATAAACGGTGAAAGAATATTATGGATGTAATAACAATAAAAAAGAGCAGTACCTGTTTAAATGCAATATTCACCATGAATCACGGTCAGCGGAATAGCGAATGAAATAGAAAACCGTGAAATAAAAGGTATAAGGTGCTTGCCGAGCAGCTTGCAAGCTATTAGTTCGATAACGTGTGAATGCGCATTATTTAGAACTAGAACGATACGCTCACCCAATGTTCCCCGTGCTTTTCAATGGTCCTCCAACCATTGGTTACGATAGTCACGCGGACCCCAACAAAGTAGTCTGTATCTACCAATATGGCTGAGACTAGAAGTTAGTGACTTCAAGCACTGATGCCACGTTTTGGTTTGGCCGCCCCTAACTTTCTTCCAATCATACCCAACACTGGTTAGCATAGCGTGTCGTGGTAATCGGTGTTCAGGCATACGACGCAACGCGTGGCCCAACCATCTCAGTCGATGAAGATTCACAACCAGATCAACTGATTTACCATCATTCCCTAATACCTGATATTCACAGAATATTGAAACTTAAATAATATCGCTACTGATTAATTGTTCATCAATAAAACTATGTAAGTACCATTAATCAAGTTGCCATTTATACACTTAATCGTTGGTGTTTATGACAATCGATACATACGATGGCATATAATATCAAAGTGAACATTCATTGTATGGTTAAATTAAGTGTTAGAAACGATGAGTTTGAAAATTCGCAATATATATGTGTTGCCTGATAAACAAAGTACTAGGATGTTACATAAACAAGATTGATTTTGATAAGGAGTTTATACAATAGTTACACCAGTTTTATTATCTATAGTATAAATTTCTAATCAAATCTAACCTTCAACACTGCTGTCACATGTAATACACAATCTAATCTAAAAACAATACTAATCAGTGATTATTATCTGATTTTACAATTTCCTTCCCTCACAGTTGACTGATGAATTCAAACTTAACTCCGATCATTATTAGTTATTGAAATTCATAGTCATGTTGAATCGTCCGCCTTTTTCTATATTCATACTGAACGTAGACTGACACATCGAACAATTAATACATAAGCTGAATATATATATATATATATATATATATATATATATATATATATATATGGCCGAGAGCAGGGAGAGTCAGCTCTCTCTCCAAATGCTCTCACATGACCACGTGCATACAGCCACTGCCAGGGAAGTCCTACTAACTGCCTTCTCGTGGCGGGTGTTGTTTACGAAATTGAGGACGAAAAGTAAATGTCCGGCGCTTTAACCGGGTTGGTGGATATGGAGAGTCCACTTAGGGGAGTTGGTAAATCCTGAATCCAAACCAATGGTGTACATGGGCTGCAGGGTCCTGAAGGATCAGATGGCGTATGAACCAATTGTTGGTTACCGGCTACCACGGGACTGCATCTCCTGTTGTTGTTCCACTGCTTTTTGGATTAGACCTATAGGTTGAAGCTCCGGGCTCGACCCCCTAAGAAAACCACCTGCTTTGGTTTGTGTACCCGGGCAGTATCACAGCCCTCACGCAAACCGAATCATTAGTGGCGCATATCTGTTTGGTGCCTCCTTGTACCAATATATATTTTTTGAGGTTAGAGTCAATATTTGTCTATAATTGTTTCGCCTGTCCAAGCGTATTTGTAGTTACGTTGATTAATCACTGAACAGTGAAAAATACCATACTTGTCCTAGTTCTTAGTACTGTTGGGATTCTATTTACCAAGTTTCAGTGTAACTACTTGTTGGTGCATTATGTTTCCCAGGTCAAATTATATATATATATATATATATATATATATATATATATATATATAACCTGAAGAAATATCTCTCGTAATTGTATTATAGTAATCCAAGAAAAGTGGGTACTACAAGCATTAAAATGAATAAGTTACATTACAATTAATGATAAGATAAAAATAGACAGTTCGGAAACATAGACGTCTTTTTTCCAGTCGTAGTAGTAATCAAACCATTACTAAAAGAATTATTATCTAACGACTTTAGATAATGATTATTTAAACAGGGTTTTATTTATATTCGAAAGAATCTTATACACAGAATAGACCAAAGACACCTGTTAATTATACTGTTTTTTCTTCAACCAGATAACAGAATGAAATACAACAAATGTCACATTTGCTTACCTTATAAATAGATTTATTCTCGATAGCTGGCAAAGATATTTTTACACTGGGACTTATAATGGCTGATAGACGAGAGTGCAGTTTATCTTGATTAAAAGGTAACTGACCGTAGACCATCATATAAAGGATTACACCTAATGACCAAATATCCGATTTACGACCAACCTTTCGTAGTAACAAAACAAACAAACTTTTATTGAATATTTAAAAACACGAGAAATCACTTCTATTTATAATATGAAACTGTTCACAAAGATTTGTGACACGAAGTTCTAGTGAGAAGCCATTGATAGTGGAGTTTAATCAGTGAACGGTGTGGGACAATTATTCATCTCAGACAACGGATGAAGGGTTGCACAAAATCATGGATCGATTGAAGTTAGATATCCGTTGGATGCCGGATCGGTAGTCTAGAGTTCAGGCGTTCGCGCGCGTGTCCGAAAATCCTGAATTTGAGACCTGTGTACAGGATCGTGGGTGTGCACTAATGAGGAGTATTATACTTGGCTATCCAGTGCTTCCAGGTTTTCAGTGGTGATCTAGCTTAGATCGACTCGTGAATCAACTATAATTTATTTGTAAAATCCAACTATTTTTTATTATTTATAATCTATTTCATGTTCAATTTTTCTTGAAATAATCACGTCGAACATTGGTAATGAAAACTACACAAATGAACGTCTATAACCAACAAATATATTTAGGATTTATTGAGTGACATAATTATTTCTTTTTAAGCTGCAATTACATATCATAGATGACTAGAAATTATCAACTTCAAACATCAATTCCACTTCGATGAGTTGACTTCCTTCTCATCATATCAAAAACTCAAGAAATCGTCTGAAGTAATCGCTAGCGTATGCGAAGTGGAGTGAGTACGATCAGTTATGCAATATCTAGGATTTCCAATCATTTTTCGTACGCTTAGTGTACGTATATAGCCATGCCCTTTACTAGGGATTTCATTTCAAACATAAAAGCTATCTACGTATATCTTTTGTGAACGCGCTACTGTAACGTATTCCGACTTACCGGATGAAAAATAGCAAATAAAGTAAAAGGTAAAACTTGAAATGAGATCGTGTGTGGAAATTATGCTCTTACATTCACCAATCACACGCTAAATGAATGGAAAATACTTGAAATAGCACACGTATCGAACACTGAACGGGTGTGCTTTAAATTTACGGACACAATGTAGTGGCTTGGCTTTGTTAATCAATCACCTTGATAACCGTTATTATACGAATCCCAACAGTGTTTGAAATCCGCATTCCGTCAATTGAAGAACATATGAAACTCAAAACAATTGTCAGTCAACATCAAAGTTAGAATCTCCAATACAAACGTCAAGATAGTTCTACTGAACGGAGCTAAAACGTGAAGAACTACCACAACCATTATTAAAAAGGTACAAGTATTTATAAACAGTTGTCTACGCAAGATACTCAATGTTCGTTGGTCGGATACCATCAGCAACAACCTACTGTGAGAGAGAACAAATCAACTTCCGGCTGAAGTGGATATTGGGTAAAGACGTTGGAAGTGGATAGGACACATGTTGAGGAAATCATCAAACTGCACAACAATATATGCGTTAACTTGGAATCCTGAAGGGAAACGAAAAAGACCAAAGAACACACTACGTCTGGAACAAGAAGCAGACATGAAAAGGATCAATAGCAACTGGAAAGGACTACCCAGGACAGAATTGGATGGAGAATCCTGACGAGCAGCTTACGCTTCTCCATAAGGAGTAACAGGAGTAAGTAAGTACGCTGTCCTGTGGATAGAGTTTTATGAGCTTAGATGGACATAAGGGCAGGGTAATTATTGAAAATATTTCGATTGTGGTGTGTAATTTACTGCTACCATTTGTTTACACTAATACAATATGAAATATAATATGTCCTGCGTTTCAGAAATACTGGGATCTTTTGGTTTATAATTCAGTTCTATAATGTTATAACCAACGAAAAATTTGTTTTTATGGTGATAATATAATACTTTGATACGACTAAAAAATGAGTTGAATGGTGACAGCCTGGTACTTAAAACACTTGGCGTTCAATAAGTAGTAGGTCGCTAGGTTCTATAACTAACCCTACCTCATCTACTTGGGTCTGGACAAACGGGTAGTACCACTAGCTCCCATAGCTGTGGGTGATCATTTAAAGTGGCGCAGATCTATTAACTTTTGGTATATCTTCAAATCATGTGGTCAAAATTTATCTCACATGTTTTATTCCATAAATTTATCCTTTCTTCGCAAATCAAATCATCCGTTTATTCTTTTTGTATAAACCATTTAAAAACTACTACACTGGTACTTATTTTGTTGATGAGATAGTAATATGGAGCAATGCGCATATGCATCAGATTCTATGTTGCTTATAACTAACCGAGTAGCACAATAATGTGGCTAAGAGCCACGTATTTCTGTATTCTTCGCTGATCAACAGCTCAGCATTAAAATTTCCAATATTCTATATTAACTTGAAAGGTTTCATTATAAAATTAAAATTGTGAAAAAGAGAATACGAATGCAGAATGCAATCTATATCAGAAAAGTAAACTCTGATGATAGAAATATCTCCATGAAATAAATGCATTATTTGGAAACAACAAAAAACAACCTTAAAACGATTTTCTTGGTCAACTTCAGAACCCAAGAAAAACGACTGATTTAGGCTAGATGAGGATGAAGGAATAGCAGCAGCTTCTTCCAACTGTTCTGGACTCATGAAAGACAATGTTCCCAACTTTAGCCAATGGTTTACAGTTGTTGAATCATCTGGTAACAGACGACTAATCCCTAGATCAATAAGCTTCAACTGTCCATAGACTAGAACAAAATTTTGTGGTTTTAAATCTAAGTGAACAATACCTAGAATGAGCAGCGAAAAAAATAATCAAGATAAAAAAACACTTAACAGAAGTAATCATTATTTTGGATTTACATAAAATTATCCAAAATTTCATAAAATAAATAAAAATGAAACTAAGCAATGAATTGGTCATGCCAAAGAACTTATTACCATTGAATTTGTGTAACAGTAAATGATAATCAAAGGATATCACAATATAAAACTATTTACACGTATGGAAAATTACAGATTCCCAGAAACGAATCTATGAAATTATTGGTTGTAAACGGAGAGCAAGAGAAAAGTTTTAAACTTGGTTAGCTACTAATTAGTGAATTAGCTTGTATTTTTAATAAACATATAACAAATGGTTGTTTTTTATTTTATTTTCAGATACCATTTAATTCGTTTACATTTGTTATATCTTTAGACATTAGTGAACTAAAGTCAATCAACTATAAATTTGTTCGGATTAGACTCTTCTCGATATTTTATCTAGATCTAGTTAGATATTGTTATGCATATCCACGATAATTTTAATCCGGTATATTTTCTCCTCATTACACGTTCTGCCGAAAAACTACATTGCAACAAGATATTAACAATAAAAATAAACTTACGACGATCATGAAGTGCTTTCACACACCGCAACATTTGATCCCAGTAGAATACAATCCCAGATGAAAGCATACCTGATGGTGAACGAGGCGATTTTTTTGCACCACCAGACCAAAAGCTAAGAATTACACTTTTCAAATCGCAATCTCCTTTCTCCATAACAAGTATGAGATTTTCTGATGTACAGTGACTAAACATTTTTGAAAAAAAAATTGTAAAAATGTTAAATATCAAGACAATAAATGTACGATCAGCTTATGTTAAAGAGATGAGAAAACACAGAGAATCTAACTTGAAAGTTCGCATAGCTTTGAGCAGATTCGCTCTTATCCAATAGTATATAGTGAAGGGGAGTTAGAAAACAAAATCTAAAAAAGACTGGATTCCTTAAATACAGTACAAAACGGGCAGATTAATTTTAAAAGGGAACAAATAGCTCTTACGATTAATATTCGAAAATTAATAGTAAAATGTAAGTAAAGGACCACCAATATTTACAACTGAGGAACATCTGGAACTCAAAGCAACTGTCAACCAACACCAAGGTCAGGATTTTCAATACAAATGTCAAAACAGTTCTACTGTATGGGGCGGAGACCTGGGGAACTACGAAAGCCATCATCCAGAAAATACAGGTGTTTATTAACAGTTGTCTACGCAAAATACTTCAGATCCGTTGGCCGGACACTATCAGCAACAACGTACTGTGGGAGAGAACAAACCAGATCCCAGCGGAGGAAGAAATCAGGAAGAAGCGCTGGAAGTGGATAGGACACACATTGAGGAAAGCACCCAACTGCGTCACAAGACAAGACCTCACACGGAATCCTCAAGGCCAAAGGAAAAGAGGAGGACCACAGAACACATTACGCCGAGAAATAGAAATAGACATGAGAAAAATGAACAAGAATTGGATGGAACTAGAAAAGAAGGCCCAGGACAGAGTGGATTGGAGAATGCTGGTCGGCGGCCTATGCTCCATTGGGATTAACAGGCATAAGTAAGTAAGTAAGTAAGGGACCACCACTTAGGTCCTAAAGCTTAAGATGGACTAAATATTTGAATTTCCCAAGTCAATGAGTAGTAAACTAAAATAAATTCGATCACCAGGTACTTGGGTTTAAGGTGTACTCCAATTGTGAGGGCTAGTGATATATTCCAGCTGCCCAAACCGGAGTGCAAATTTTGTAGGGTTTCGTTTATCAATCACCGTTATTAAATAAATCCAAACGCTGTATGAATTCAGAATGCAATACGTAGTGGCGGCTAAAGTTTATTATTAAATATTACAGACAACAAAGTTACAAACACACTGAGCGAACTGGAGCAGACAGGCGAATACAGAGTCAAATCGAATCGACGCGAAACGAACCAAGCACACATATACATGGGAAAGAGAATGATTCATTGAGCGATAATTAAGCTAGAGAGAGATATGTGCGTAGGCTGTCGCAGTGATCAAGCACACACGTTTATACAGACATGACGGTGATCATAATAGTACAAATATAGACTGTTCGAATAACACTGTCTGTTAAATAAAATAATTAAAGGTCTTGACAAAGTTAACCGTAAACAAAATTAATTGTAGGAGCCTAAGACTTAATAGCTAAAAGTCGAACACATTAACCAATAAGTAGGCCACAGGCCCAATGAAAGGAACGCCATGAGATAGACAAGCAGGAATCTATATTACTTCACATAAGATGCATCTTACAAATAAGAATTTAATGAATTCGAATTTTTGATTAAAATATTTCGTTTTACTTTCAAGACATAAAAAAGTGAGTTATAACTTACTAATCATATAGTCGGATAATTCTGTCGGAATTTATCAAACTTTTAAGCATCTCAATCTCATTTATATACGACGTAACTGTTTCTTGTGTAAGATTTTTCAAATCAACTTTTTTCACCGCCCATGGATTTAAATCGGAGTCCATAGCCCAATACACCTAGGAGTGAATGAAGCAGAGATGATATTTATTTTTTGGCAAATTTATAATACTGACGAATTCTGTGTTTCTCACATCCTTGCACATATCGTAGCAAACGAAGACTTGGTCGGAGATAACCAATTTATTGTTAAGTACAAGATTACAGTATCTTCGTGAAATATAAAAACAATACATTATATACATCATTTGCAAATCCTCCATCAGTTTTCTCTTACAAACTTTATAGTACCTCCATTCCTTTGAGTTTTATTCCGTATTTTTTCCATTTCAATCATCTGCTTGCAGACATCCCAATTCCGACTGGTGCTGTATACTACTTATATCTGCCAACATAAGTAGTGTACACCACAATATTATATTGATTAAGCACTAATAATATATAATATTTAGTAACAGAAGCGGAGTAATATTTCAATGTAGAATAAAACTTAAAAGGTGCGCCCCCTTTGATTAACTTCAGTGTATAGTTAGTTGATGCTAAAAAATATAGATTCTTACTAACTCTTGACATGTTCTATCTTGACTACTCTCGTTGATGATAAGGAGGAAATAAAAAGTATGATACCTGTAAAATGTGATCGATAGACGAGACGCCCACCACCACATTAACTCCCTTTGACCTTGTGCGACTGTATCTCTTTATTAACCAATCGCAGTTTGATGTTCATTGTAAAACAATATTTGCTTTGTGACTCATTTTCCCTATTCTCTGGCTACTGTTCGGTATGTTATTTGTCTCTGTTTTTCCCTGTATTAATAGACCGTACTGTTTGTTTGTACACTAACGATGTTAATTTATATTTTAGAAACAGATAAAGTTTATCTAGCCAAATAGCTTGCTTGTTCTAGCTTTGGCCAAACCAAGACTCTGTATTCGATGGTCTAGGGAATAGCTCAGAATTAAACCTGTAGGAAATTGCTTCCTACAAAGTTTCGAACAATAGATTTGATATACCTACTGAAATGATGCCAATAAATACTACGATTCCGATGAGATTCCAGAGTTATCACCACATCATTCGGGAGTTTATGACGAGGACCAACTTGAAAAGAACGAACTCAAAAACAATAGCACGACAGAACTAGAGTTAGCTCGGTTGCGCATAACCCGGTTAGAAAAGGAAATTGAACTAGAAAAGTTAGGCTGCCAGAGATGTGAAGGTTCCGAGCAATCAGTAAGCAACAGTGAGAATACAATATTAAAACATCTGTATTTACGAAAAAGAGAAGTCATAAGGTTTGATGGTACACCGACAAATTATTGGAATTTCATTAGAAATTTCGAAGAATGCATTGGGAGTGAGAATATTGGATTTAGAGCTAAGCTAAATTACTTGATTCAATACTGTGACGGAGAAGCGAAAGCCGCTATACTATACTAGAACCAGAGATAGGTTACCATCAAGCCCTAAAGCTTTTAGAGGAAATGTTTGGCCGAAAACACGTTGTAGCACGCACGTTTATCGACAACTTGTTAAACTTTCCCAATATAAGGAGAAATCAACCAGATAGTTTGAGAAGTCTATCTTGAGAAATGCAAGCATGTAGTTTGACTCTCGAACAGATGAATTACGTTTCTGACTTGAACTCTTCTAGAACTATTGAAACTATGGTTCTGAAATCACCAACGCACATTCAACAAGAGTGGCTAAAGGTAGCTTATAAGATTATCAGAGGCCGAGAGCCTCTGTTTACCGATCTTGTTGAGTTTGTAAAGGATCAAGCTGATATAGCTAATACTAGGTACGGCTTATTTGTCAACCGCGGTAGTAATGGTGGCAATAAAGATGTTGGTGTTTTAAAAGGGAAAATCAGTACAGATTACAATGCAGCAAGAATATCTTATGCGAGTGCTAGTGATGATAATGCTCCCTCACGCAGTTCATCTTGTTTGGAGTGCTTCAGTAATCATTCTTTAGATAAATGTCAGAAATTTAAAGACAAGAATGTTAGAGAAAGGAAGGAATTCGTTCTTAGACACAAGTTGTGTAATGTATGCCTGAAGGCAAACCACGTAGCAAAAAACTGTCGATCGCCGAGGTCGTGTGCTGCCGAAGAGTGTGGCTGGAGACACCATACCCTGTTACACGAGTTGCGGGAAGAGCAAAAGAATACTAATATTGATGCCTACATCAACACTCAGCTATGTACGGAGAAAAGTGTTGAGCGTGTACAGAAACAAGCAGCATTCTCAATAGTGCCTGTACTGGTAAGAAATGGAGAAAAGGTAGTACGGACTTGCGCCTTCCTAGATAGTGGGTCGGATGCTTCGCTTATTACAGAAGACCTAGCCAGAAGGTTGGATTTAGAAGGAGAGTCCAAGACGATTTTATTGAAAACGTTGGATAACCAGTCCACATTTCAGTGTAAAGAGGTTCAACTAGAGGTTTCCTCCTTAGATTCGTCTTCATCATTTAGAATCCCAAACGTATGGACAGTCGAGAAATTGAGATGGTCAAAAAATTAGACAACCAAATATCAAAGACTTTAAACAAGCTAGTCAAAGCAGGAGAATTAACAAAACAAGACCAATGGAGAATGGTTTGTTTTAACATATCACTATGTTTATTAATTGCATAACCTATTCTGCTGCGTTTCTGAAAAGTGTACAACCTTTCGTTGTCAAAGTTACAAAAAACTCAATAAGAGACAATGTGGTTGCTGGCAATATACAGCGAAAAGAATGTACATTATTCAGATGTTCATTTACTGAACTGCTAATATCTAACCGGCTATTACTCAATATTTATCGCCAGGACCGACCAAGAAGAAAGAAACGGAAACTTGTTGAAATACTTTACGCTGAGAATTCTATATTGTACCAAAAATATAATATTGAATAAAGCTGATAATAATTTTAAAAAAATAATTCAGTGGACCAGTACTACCACGATTCTACGGCAGACCCAAAATACATAAACCAAACATTCCATTACGTCCAATTGTAGTACTCCCCGGAACACCACAGTACAATTTGTCAAAAGAAATCTCACGAATACTGAGACATCTAGTAGATTCAGCCAACCACTCCATCAAATCCCCAACACAATTCCTGGACCAAATTAAGGACATTCAAATCAACAACGACGAACTCATGATATCCTTCGACGTTACAGCACTGTTCACCTCAATTGAACCACAGTTAGCAAACGAAACTATATCCCTGCTGCTCAACAACGACACAAATCTCAATAAATACACGAAGCTTCAAATTCAAAGTCTACTGGAACTCATCGATTTATGCCTAAAAACATATTTTCAATTCAACAACAAAATCTACGAACAAACGAAAGGGACATCAACGGGATCACCAATATCAGGATTGATCACAGAGGCAGTGATGCAAAGACTAGAAGCCGCTATATTACCAGTGATCAAACCAAAAGTTTGGATTCGCTATGTAGACGACACCTTCTTCATCGTCAAAAAGAATGAACTAGAAAACACAAACTGATCAACAACGTCTTCGATGACATTAAGTTCACCATGGAACAGGAGTCAAACAACAAACTAGCATTCTTGGATATATTGATCATTAGAACTGACACAGGAAAACTGGAAACTCAAGTATATAGGAAACCGACCCATACAGATCAAATTCTCAACTACAATAGCAACAACCCAAGAGCTCACAAAATCAACTGCGTACACAATTTGTTCAAGAGGGCGAGGACACACTGCAGCACACTGGCAGAACGAAGAAATGAAGAGAAATACCTGAAGGACATATTTCAAAAGAACAGCTACCTAATCAACTTCATCAAAAAACACCAACCGCACGCAGCATCAGAACCCAAGTCAAGCATAAAAATCAACAAAAGGATCACCCTACCGTACATACAAGGAATATCAGAAACCGCAACGAGACTGCTGAAAACCTTCGGGATAGGTGTGGCACATAAACCGACAAAATCACTACAATTAATCCTATGCAAACCATAGGATGAAATAAAGAAGGAAGACAAATCAAACATCATCTACAAAATAAATTGTGCCAACTGCGAAAAACACTACATTGGACAAACCGGACGCCCCGTTCACCTTCGCCTACATGAACATCAATTAGCAGTCAAACGCCGTGATACTTCCTCACTTATATCAATACACATGGACAACTGCGGACACTCATTCGATTGGAAAAATGTGGAAATCTTAGACAGAGGAAACTCCAAAAACACCAGAGAATTTCTAGAAACCTGGCACTCAGGTCAATCAGCAATCAACAAGCATATTGAAATCAATCCAATTTATCAACCAATCAGAAAAATCATGCACAAACATAAGAACAAAAATCAAAACAATGGGAGACACAACCAAAACAAAGAAGCAAACAATGACAAATTTAAGGTCAATAAGAACCAATCAACATCGAGGTGCACAGAACAAGCTGTGAAACACATATGGAGAAATTCGAACAGTTCACTTCTATCTGAAGTTTGTGCTGATGATGTCGTTCAGAAGAACGATGAAAGCTCCACGATCAAACCATCCAGCAGGTAGCACATATTTGCCGTGGTATCGAGGATGGTGTTGAGAAAGGCGCCCTTGTACGAGTTGTGAACAAGAGTAAGGGTGCATCTGGCAGTTCTATAGGAGCCAATGCTATTCTTAGACAGATCATGTGCAGTTGGAACCAGAATAAGACAGTAAATGCCCTTTTAGAGAGAGGTTGTGGATGGCGCTTTAAACTTCCGAGGGCTAGTCAACAAGGCAGTGTATGGGGACGCATCATTAAGCCGTAATTCCTTGGCACTAGTGAAACAAACTCATTCTAAATCATCTCTTTATATGAATTACTTCACCTGTAAATTTTCTAGACTCTGGAATAACCTACCACAATCTATCCGTGCGATACAATCACTCCCATTATTTGTTCGCTGCATCGGTGCATACTGCTCCTCTGAAAATGCATTGAATGGTCTAGCGCCTTTAAGTGTATCTCATTCAACAAGTGATATTTTAGGAACCTTAAATGTTTAGCCATCTTTATTAGTGAATTCCCTTAGTAAAACCACCCACTTGCTGTCAATATGTTAACACCGCCCCTAGCAACTTTAACTAATTTGAATAACACAAACAGTATATCACTGTGTCACATGACACACGCATTTAGGTAGACCTGATTGATATATTTTGGTAATTACTTTTTTGTTGTTCCGTGCTCTCTGTTTTCGTTTTAATTTCTCTAGTTGTAGATAATTAACATTATTTCGATCTGGCACACGAATTGACCTTAATTACACTGTTCATAAATCAACAGGCTGTCCATTTAAGAAATATTAAAAATTTCCGGTTGATGCATAGGATCGCTGTAATATATATACTACTTAAACAACTATTGAACTAGTATACTTAAAACTTTCTTTTATCACATGTCTGTTCTGCACATCTAATGTTATTATTTATATCAAATTGATCATGCCTGTAAACTGGCGTGAATTCTGTAATTATTATTATTTTTCAGAATATAAATAAATTAAGTCGATAAGAAGAATTCTGCGATCATTATTGTTTCAGAAGATATTGATGGATGAGTCTTCTGGAGACTTAGTGTTAGTAAACAATGTTGGCTCACTGAGAAGTTTATGGCCCAAAGCTATTGTCGAACAAGTAAGCTATGGCTCTGACGGACAAGTTCGTACGGCAAAATTGAGAACCGCAAACGAAGAAACTGTTCTGGACGTACGAAGCTTATGTCTACTAGAAGGAGCCGGCTGTCTGACGGCGACGACGACCCTGGACAACGGACGTGGTGCGCGTTTCGGGTAGAGTGTAAAATGTGATCGATGGACGAACCCACCAATAATAAAGTGAAACGCCCACCACCACATTAACTCCCTTTGACCTTGTGCGACTGTATCTCTTTATTAACCAATCGCAGTTTGATGTTCATTGTAAAACAATATTTGCTTTGTGACTCATTTTCCCTATTCTCTGGCTACTGTTCGGTATGTTATTTGTCTCTGTTTTTCCCTGTATTAATAGACCGTACTGTTTGTTTGTACACTAACGATGTTAATTTATATTTTAGAAACAGATAAAGTTTATCTAGCCAAATAGCTTGCTTGTTCTAGCTTTGGCCAAACCAAGACTCTGTATTCGATGGTCTAGGGAATAGCTCAGAATTAAACCTGTAGGAAATTGTTTCCTACAATACCAACAGTATAAAAGAAATGTATATTTTATGTCTCCGTTCATGCAAACACACTATAATCATGAATAGATGAACGTGGCGTGATCTTTGACAAGTTGGACTTCAATGTCACTTAAACAGAATATAAGTCTTCTCACCTGATTTCTACGTAAGCTTTGATCTAGATGATGTTAGATCTATCAACAGACCATGACAGAATAGTTATCGATCATGAACTCCGTGGTTAAGCTATTTGAAAGAAAAGTACACATAAATAAGATAGGTAAATATTGGATCAACTACTTACCACTGATGAACCTCCCCGTCCCAATTCATTAATTACTTGATACTTTTTACCATTAACAATAATAAATTGTTCACTTTCACTGACCAGCTCAGTTTGCACACCGACAGAAATCAATTTCTTATCCTGAATAATAAATTGGGGTGATTAAAAGACAAAAGCGTTGAGTCGCTACCAGACGTTTAAGTGGAAAAAACATCAAATGAATAAAGTAACTACAATCGATCTATCTACTTATATGTATCGCAGAAACGCAGAAAACAGTGCTCACAAAGCTGCGGTTACACAACTTCTAAGGATATCGCCTAAATATTTGATCAAATGAAATTTTTGTACTCCATAAAACGAACTGAAGACCAGAGAGTATTGGACAGCAACATTAATGTATAGTGATGGCCTTAATAAAGATCGAGCCTATGACGGCAAGTTTCTTGAATGATTATTGAGTAACAGTACTTAGACTAAATCACTTAATATATTCACAGAGATCGGTTTCAATGAAGAGTAATGAAGCGACGATAATTTTTGGTAAGGCTGATTAGTGACTGTATGGACACAGTAGTTCAGTGGATCATTAATTGCTTATTGAAACGAAAGGCAATGTGTTCAAATCTCAGTGTGAAAATCGATACTGAAATACAGATACACCCAGCTGACGAGTCTCGAGTATAACGGTGTGTCATGAATTCCACTGTTGAACACTACTCAACTTTACTGAGGCGTTGAGACTAAATGTCAATATCGAGGCAATCCACTCAACATGAACATAACCCAAAAAGACTAAGAGATTTCAGCCCGCAACATAAACAAAATACAAACCCGTACAAATATGATGATACAGATTTCCTAGATTTTTTTGTAATCTAAAAACTTCTAAGATATAGTTTGTGATACATCTAATACGAATATGTATGTGGAAGGTAACTGTCGATCATGCAAGAAAGAGAATTGAAACTTACTATTACAGCATATAATATACGAAAAACTACGTATCTTGGAAAAATGGGTATGTAAAAAAATAATAAAAATCTATTGAAAAACTACGAGGACACCAACGCTTGTCAAACTTTCAAGCTGTATAAAACTATACGATCATGAATTTTGAAAATACATAATTTTAAATAGCTGATTAAGTGTTTAATTAAGGTGCTTGAATGAGGTAAAGTGTTAAGTTGACACATTTCCAATTTGCCAAGTTAAATAATATTTTTCTAAATTGCAGTACAGCCAATCAGTCAGCCATAAGCAACGTAGAACTTGGCATACATACGTATCCGTTCAAGTTGCCACATCATATTAACATGACGAGATGAGATCATCAAGGAAAGTACCAAAAACTACAAGTAGTAACAGAATCAGTGGTAGTAAAAAACAGTAGGCAAGGACGAAGTGGTTCAGGGAGGATAAGTTATAAAATAATTCTAAAACTTTTTATCTGAGGGAATATAAAGTAGTGCCTCAGAGACATTGCAACTGATTCTGAGTAAAGCCACTGTAACCTGGTAGCTGCCGCCTACTAACATATCTCAATTCACTAGTCAATGATTTCATAGACTGATGCCACATTTTGGTTTGGCTACCCCCTAGCTTTCTTCCAACTTGCACCTACATCAAGAAAACTAGCGAATCACAAAACGTATGTAACAATTAGGATTATACACGGTTAAACATACTATTAGTTTATACATCCTACACACATTTTTCCGCATTATACTAGTCATAAAATAAGGAAAAAACATACCGAATTAAACGGAAATACCTTTTCGCAACTTCCATTCAATTTGATCGAACCAACGATGGTGGATAGTTCAGGCTGTTGTAATGATTCCATATGTGGATTACTTGTGACTGAAACAGATAGTATAGAGAGAGAGAAGGAAAGGAGAAAAGATCAAGTTATGAATAAAAGAAAATAAACAGTGACATTCAGGGGATAAATGACTATATTAAGATCAGAAATTAATATATTTGAAACAGTAACCAAAATTTAGTGTAGATAAGATAGATCATCCAATGATATATATGTTACTCAAGATCAGCGCTATTAGTTTAAAATAAGAAACATAACCATACGAGTGAATTCAACGGAAAAATTCAACAAAATAACACATATAGTGGAAGATAATGTTAGAAACCTCGGTGCACATATATCATCGAAAACATATGGCACAACCACAACAGTAAAATTTAATTTCTTCATAAATAAATAAAAAGTGCATGCGTTCGGAACATTGGTAATAAATCTTAATTCCAGGTCTCTCTAGTCACTGATTTCTTTATCAATTCTCAAAGTTGGGCGCTACAGAGTAGACGATGTTTGTTTTATGACTTATGACTCTGTTGATTATTCAGAATATCGACTTCTATGAATTTGTCCCTGTGCTAAACCAATGGCACGTCAACAAGCACTAGTAGTCTTGATTCAACTCGGAATCTTTATTGGTCCTCGATATTAGTAACTTATTGCCTAGACATGCCCATTGAGTCCAATATCCACCACCCCCGCCGTATGAATCGTACATTACAGACATACGTGGTTTATATACACAAGCAGACCAGACCAAATCATGCCATAAAATGAAAAATATCAATTATATAAAATCAAGCTAAAAATGATTGTGAGTATAGAACACTTTGACTAATAGGTTGGGAATAAATCACAAACACTAAAATCGTATAATAGTAGCCAATGAGTCAAATGAAGGCTTGTGACAAAAGAAGCATGAACACATATATGATCTATTGACTTAACAACTATCCAATAAGAATATATATAACAGTTCATAAGCGATTCCTAGCAGTTACCATTCTGTTATTCTTCGTCCGGACATAGCAGTTTGTCATACAAATTACATTATCCATTGCGAATTTAATCGATTCCTTGGTTGGATTTTAAAGGGATTGGTTTAACTTGTTAAGCAATTGCTGCAAGACCTGGCGGTCCTAGGTTCCATCTTTGGGGGGAATGTGGGTGTACACTGTCCAGGTGTATTATACTAGGATGAGATGGTTATGAAGTGCTCCTTAGTTTTCAATGGTCTATCAACTGAGATTAATATATAACGAATAAAACACACCAATTGATTAGTGCCATCTTGATTTATTTTCACTAAGGTTTTGAAAAAACCTGCTTACAAAAAACTGAACTGTATCGTCAAATCCTACACTGTGAAGTTTATTTGATTTATAGAATTTGAGCTATAAGCCCGACCTGATGACCAAAAAAGTAAAGGAGTACAAGAATAAAAGAATAATTTACCTGAAGTAACTGACAATTCTTCTGGAAGCCCTGGTAATTTGAGGGACCGGGAAAAATTATATGAATCCTGAAAAATTAAGGGAAACACTTTTCACACGTTTTCTGAAAAATAAGTCCCAGATGTTTGTTACTCATCATGAACATACAAGTTCGCCTTGCTTTAGTGTCAGACCCTGAATATGAAACAAAACATTAAAAAATTCTATAAAAACTGATGACAGGTTGATATCTGGTTTCATGAGGTTTCGTTGAACCACAGATTTATCATTCGCACACACAAAGACATGGTAAAACAAAACATTAGTCAAAATAGACATGATTTTGGGAGGACCTAACGAAATAACTTCTATGTCGAAAATTGATAAGAAGAAATTGTTTTCAAAGTTACCAATTTCTTATACGAATATTCGTCGATATTAGAACGAACAGTTTGATAAAAATATGCTGATATCACCCTGAAGAAGTTCAGACAAGTTTGCTCGATGAAACGTTGGGATTATTTAAATTTCAATCAGTGAAATTATTTAGAATATAATTTTCACGTATAATATCTTTACTAATTTCTTTTTATTAGTTTAAGATATATTTCAGAGTAAAATATAGTGATCATTTATTGTTTTCTTAATTAAAATATAGGGGAAATAAGGTTTAGGACCTTCTTTAATTAACATTATATGATTATTAATTGCCATGGCGCAACTGGTGGTAATCCAACTTTTCTAAATATTTATTACTACTGAACGTGACAGTTTAATTGATTCATTAAATATACATACAAGAAGATTGTTATTCAAGTTATCATTCAATCCATTCAATTATTGAAAATCGACATTGAAAATAAAAATCATTAAAAAAGCAAAATCTATAGTCATTTGGTCGAATTCCCTTGATTTTTTCAGGTTGTAATGGCTGTGCTTCGTTGACCAATCACCCTCGTAACCGTTATGATGTAATGCTCAACGGTGTTTGAAATCAGAAGGCAAAGAGAAGTAACGACTACAGTTTTATTAGCAGATAACTCAGACCGCAAAGCAGGGAGGCAAATGAATGAGTCAGCGAACCGAGGGTGTAAGAGTGTAAATGTACATGTATATATATAGGGAAATGAATGGATCACCGAATCAATTGAGCAGCTAATAATAAAGCTAGCAGAGTGAATATATGAGTAGGCGGTAAGCAATATTCAAGCATACATATTTCATACAAGCACAACAAATAATAAAAGGTACAATAAGTTGTTATAGTACGGATGACTTTGTCCGCTAAATAAGTTAACAAAAGAGCTTAACTGAGTTAAATGATAACAGACTCAATTGCACGTGAGTTGCTATAATGTACATCTTATAACTTACCCTGGATGGACCAATTATTTGTATTGATTCAACTGCATTACAATTACTAGGATAGTCTGGTGAATTTCCATTCGGTTCAAAATTGATGTCTATCGCAGACTGAGAACGTTCTTCTGTGTGACTAGAATAAATTTACGAAGGAAAATATTTCAATGATCAAAACATTTCCACGGGCTTAAAAGGAATCTGTAAAACTAAAAAAATCCATTAGATGCTGCTCAATTGATATTCTTAAAATGAAATATGAATTATCCTGTATTCAAGTATCCATTCGGAAAAACATCCAATGTACACATGTACGAACCAATCAGTCTAAAGTCTAACCACCGATTCAGAATTTGTGAACTTGATCTATTAATTTTCTGATTCGATATAATTGAGATATAAACTAGCAACTCTGGTAAAATGACCTTATACATATTCTCAACTGAAAGGAATCAAAAATTGCAAATATATAGTAGGAAGTTGTATTCGGCTAACAGGAACTTTGCAATAACTATAGTGATTTCTAATATACAGGGTTAAATCAATCAGTCAATTATAATCAACGTAGAACCAGGCATACCATATTATTATGGCTAGATGAATACTAAGAGGAATCAAAATGATGTGGTAGAAATGGTAATTAGAAAGATTGGACATTGGGAATATCCTTTGGAAAGACAGAATGGAAACGTAAGTATGGAAAAATACTGGAATTCAAAATGAAGAGGAAGATAGGGAGTGAATGCCGTGTCACAGTTAATCATGCTGAAACATGTTACCCAAAAAAACATAAGGCTTAAACAACATTAAAAAGACCAAAAACAATGATTGGTGCAGAATGATAAGAATTCACTTCATTTTGTTAGGTTCTCATCAGCTGCATACAACCTATATTATTATATATATTGACATACTTATAAATACAAAGGTGATTAGAGATGAATATGTGTATTATAGTGAAGCGAAAATGTCAATGGAGTTGATAAGGTCATAAAAAAGGCTTAAATAAATAAAGTGAAGAGGGAGGTATCAGAACACCAAAGTAGTGATTAGGATTCATAGCGTTAACAAACAATGGATGATTGTGTAGTGAGGTAACTGTAAACATATTAATGGTAATAAAGATTGAAATCAGTCAGTTCAAATGAAAATTACGAACTAAAGAAAAATGGCAGTGATGTAATCAAAGCTTGAAAGAGTTGAAATAATGAATAATGCAATAAAAAAGATGTAATGTTACCGGGGCAAAGAAAGACTTATTACTGTTTCTTTTTGGACACATAGATCTGGTTTATGACGTCAAGTTCTTTTAAAGGGCAGGTATAAAAAAATATAATTCTGATCACTCATACATGATTTCACGAATTAATACAGCTTAGTAACTAAGTGAATAAACAAGTATACAAATTTAAACTAGAGGTATTACCTGAAAAACTAAATGAAAATAGGTGAGGATGAGTTCAAACACAGATCATTAGTTCATAAAGAATGTTAAAACAGATAAGCCACTATTGTACACACCACAAGTTGAGATGAAATTCTATGACTTCAATATTTCTAGAAAAATAGGCAGCAACTATATAGTCAGTCACCTACAATGTAGAACCAGGCACATATATGCATCGGTTCAAGTTGCCATACCTCATTAACACAACAAGATGGACACCGGATTCATAAATGTAGTTAATTCAGAGGTGGTAATATATAGAAGAAAGATTGCAATAAGGATATAATACATGAAGAAGGAATTAGTTCGTATAAAGAAAGATATGAAGCGATTTCAATTTATTAGTTTAAGGGAAGAAAGAGAGTGTATACACCGACGCCATTGTGATCGACTCTCAGTCATGTCACCCACAGTCTCCAACCATTCGTTACGATAGTCACGCGGACCCCAACAAAGTATTCTGCATCTACCAACATGGCTCAGACTAGAAGTTAGTGACTTCAAGCACTGATGTCACGTTTTGGTTTGGTCGCCCCTAACATTCTTCCAACCATCCCGAACACCGGTTAGCATTGCACGTCGTGGTAATCGGTGTTCAGGCACACGTTACACGTGGCCCAACCATCTCAGTCGATAAAGATTCACAACCTCATAAACTGACTTACCACCATTCCCTAATACCCTAAGCCTAACCTCACTATTACATACCCGGTGATCCCAGCAGACGCGAGCAATATTTCTAAGACATCTGTGGTCAAATACCAGTAACTTACGAGCATCTTCTACTCTTAATGGCGATGTTTCGCACCCGTAAAGTAGAACAGAACAAACTACCGAGCAGTACACTCATCCCCTAATTGATAAACAGATATCTCGCCTTTGTCATAGGTGACGTAAGTTGGTAAACGTCAATCGAGCTTTTCGAATCCGTGTAGAGATTTCGTCAGACACCAATCCATTAGGGCTGATCAGACTTCCAAGATAAGCAAAGTTGTCTACGCGTTCGACTACTTCACTCCCTATCCTTAGTTCAGGTGTTGACCCAGGCCAGTCCTGAAACAACAACTTGCATTTAGAGGGGGAGAAGCACATCCCAAACATCCTGGCATTGTTGCTCAGTACTACCAAAAGACTGCATTTTATCAACGTCATCACCAAACAGGACTATATCATCTGCGTATTCTAAGTCAATAAGTGGACCTCCTGGATGGAGATCAATACCCGAGAATTCAGTCGACGAGAATGTTTATTTCCATCAGTAGGTCTATGATGAAGTTAAACAAAAATGGAGAGAGTGGACAGCCTTGCCAGACACCACTTGAGGTTGCAAAAACAGATGACAGTTCGCTGTAAGCTCTCACTCGACTAGTAGTGTTCGAGTAAAGAGCCTTCACAAGGTTTATGTACTTCTGAGGTACGCCTTTCAATGACACATTGCCACAGAACCTCTCGGTCCACGGAGTCAAGTGCTGCTTTTAAATTAAGGAAAACTATCATTTTCGGACGCCAATAAGCATGTCTGAGTTCTAAAACCTGACGAATAGTGAATACGTGGTCGATGTAGCCACGACCAGGTCTGAAGCCAGCTTGATTCTCTCGTGTTTGCAGTTCACGAGTCTTAGTTAGGCATCTGATAATTATCGAGGCTAGTATTTTAGATACTATATTAGTTAAACTAATCCCTCTGTGGTTATCACAGGATGATTTTGACCCTTTCTTATATATTGGGAAGATAAGTGATTGTGACCAGTCAGATGGAATAACGTCTAACTCCCAGATCTTAGCTAAGATATTAGTCAACCTAATCGCTAAAATTGGACCACCATCCTTAAAGACCTCTGGAGCCAATCCATCTGGACCAGCTGCCCTTCCTCGTTTCAGATTAACTATAGTCTTTTGAACTTCTGCTAGAGTTGGGGGACCTACTTCAATGTTCCATTCACACTGTCTGGGAATTGAGCGTAGTTGTAGAGCAGCTGAAGGCCAGTTGAACTGTTCTCTGAAATGTTCCGCCCATCGTTCTAAACGTCTGGACTGAGAGCAGGTGAGGGTGTCGTCTTTTTCCGAAACAGTCTGACTTACACTTGACTTATTAATTCCAGTTTCTTTTATTAGTCTGTAGAGCTGTCTTGTATTCCCCATAGCCGCCGCCTTTTCCATCTCTTTTGCTTTCGTTGCCCACCACTGCTCATGGTCGTTCCTTAGACTTTTGGTTAACTTATATCTGATTTGTTGTAGCTCTTCATCGTGTTCAGAGCCTGATGGGAAGAGTTTACGAGAATCCATCAGTGCAATAGACCTTGAGGAAATCCATTGGTTATTTGTAACCCTGTGGTTTAATCATTGATAGATGTCACTGCTGTTTCCACAGCTGTTTGTATAGCTTTCCAAGCAACATATGGGTCAACCTCGTTTCCAGAACTACCTACGTGTGACCTCAGTTCTTCCTGGAACCTACTTTGGTTTTCTCGCTACTCAATCCAGTTCTAATGGGCCTTTTTACTGTGGCTTTTTTGCGTCCAATGAGGCGCAAGCAGATGCGTGCCCGTATTAGGACATGGCCGGAGTCCAAGCAGGTACTCCAGAATGAGCGACAATCTTCTACCGACCCTCTCCAACGATGACTGATGACAATATGGTCTATTTGAGTCCATCGTTGGTGTAGGGGGTCGCCATGTTAGACGATGTCTATCCTTATGCTTAAAATTTGTGTTTGCTAAAAATAAACGATTGTCTGAGCACAGTTGCAGCAGACGATCACCATTTTCTGTTTGTTGTGCCGGAATACTAAAATACCCACCTAAATGTCTTTCTGTTTGGTTTAAACTGCCTATCTGAGCATTAAAGTCACCTGCTACGAGTACTATGTCTGAGCGTTTAGCTTTCTGAAGAAGTTCAGAAAGCTTTCTGTAAAATTCATCTTTCACTTCATCTGAGCTGCAGTCGGTGAGAGCGCAGGCAGAAACGACAAAAAACCAACGAGGTGTGTCCCTATCCTTCCGAGTTCTTACGGAGCCATTTAGCCGAACAGCACATAAACGACTGTTAATGGGGATCCACTCTCATAGTGCTTGTTCCGCCCTCATGCTTAGTGTTATTCCTACTCCTGCCAGTCCACGAGAGCTGGCCGTCGGGTCACCAGATACACGGAGGGTGTATCTCGCTGGCTCTCCCTTTTGCCGAGGTGAGGTCAAGTGAATGATCACACTGGGATCCTGTATGCGTGTCTCAGAGACACAACATACATCGATGGTACGAGATTCTAGGGTTCCAGCCAGGGAAGCTTGTTGACCGATTTGACATAGAGTGCGTACGTTGAAGGCTCCAATTTGTAGTTTGGAGCGAGGTTTCAGTAGACCTGGGACAGTGTTTTGAGCACTAGAATCATTGGCTGTGGTGACACTTGAGGGGGAAGGCGAAAGAGGAAGTTTAGAGTTGAAAGTCAATGTGGGAGGAGTAATAGGAAGTGAAGACGAATGTTGATTAGGAATACAGTGGTATTGAGTGCTGTTAGAGGTAGGAGGGCGGTTATCACTTCCCGGTTGCCCACACTGTGGAAGGGTTCTTCTGGAGGTGCCTGAAAAGGAAGTTGGATTAGAGGTGGTCCTAGTAACCTGAGAGCGTGACCGCAGTGTCCAAGGGACAAGTGCTTGAGGTCGGTCACACACGACCTTTTTATGGGTAATTTTTGTGTTAGCTCCGTACTTGCTGAGACCTTACCGCCGGAGACGGATATCCGTGGGATAAGGCGAGGTGTGCATTTTTAGGTTCGACCTTTTCTAACCCCACCCCTCCTCGTGGGAAGGCAGCATCGCTGTCATGCTGGTTGTCTGAAGGAAACACCTTACTGCTGTCACACCTCTGTACAGTCAGCAGTACGACTTAGCCTTCGGACCTTGGGTTTGTTGCTTTTAGTCTTACCGCTCTTCAACCGACCTGTCTGACATGGTAGGACCTTGAGGAACGGTTGTTCCAGCCAGTATAGCTCGGTTGGTTCATCACGATAGGTAAGCCCGACCACCACGTCAAGGTAGCAACAAACAGTCGGGGCAACTATACTAAAGTAGATAAGTACTTTGATGTGGTACAACTTATGTTGACAGAAATCGGATAAGTTGGTTAGTACTAGGTCATATACAAGTCACGAATGATGTGATTAAATGCGAGGCCCTTTATTAACATATTGATTATGATTACTTTTGTGACGAAGCTCAGGCTACATTTCCGACCGAGACATTGAGACTACTTAACTTCCGATGCTGAGATCTTTACGAATATAATTCACCCAACGACTTCCATGCTTAATAGTTCAACAACAACTTGCTATGTACTAATTTGGCTGAAATCTGATTTCCTCTTGGGAACCTCTTTTACTAATTATCTGATCGTAAAGCCCTTAAATGCCCTGGTACAGCCGAGAGTGGGGAGAGTCCGCTCTCCCTCTCGAAATGCTCTCACATGGCCATGCTTATATACCCTCTGCCAGGGAAGTCCTACTCACTGCCTTGACGTGATGAGGGTGTTGTTTACGAAAGTGAGAGGACGAAAAGTGAATGTCCGGCGCTTTAACCGGGTTGGTGAACATGGAAAGCCCACCTAGGGGAGTTGGAAAACCATGATTCCAAACCAATGGAGCACCTTGGCTCCAGTATCCTGAAGGAATAAGTGGCGTATGAACCAATTGTTGGTCACCGGCTACCATGGGACTGCATCTCCTTACGATATTCCACTGCCGTGTGGATCAGACTTTCAGGTCGAAGGCTCCGGGTGTGGCCCCTTGAGAAAACCACCTGCTTCGGTTTGGGCACCCGAGCAGTATCACAGTCCTCACACAATTTAAATGAGATTTGTTTGGCTCATATGTATTTGGCGCCTCCTTGTACCAATATCTATGTGTTCAAATAATAATAATAATAATAATAATAATAATAATAATAATAATAATAATAATAATAATAATAATAATAATAATAATAATAATAATAATAATAATCGTAAGATACAGAAAGCTAAGTTGCATAGATGGACTGATATTGCGATAGTATTCACTAGAAGGATGGGCTTAGTACCACACATTTGATAATATGGAATGTTTAACTTTATCGTAGACATGCTTTTGGAGATGACACTTTCCTCATCTAAATTTCCAGGGGTTGAACTTCTACCGGGAGATTCACTTGCTGACTTACAATATGCTGATGACATAGTTCTATTTGGTGAAGACGCTGACAAAATGCAGTCTTCTGACTACTATGAGCATTAATGCAAGCATGTTCGGGATGCGATTCTCCACCTCAAAATGCAAAATGTCGCTTCAGGATTGGGTTGCTTCGACACCCGAACTAATGATAGGGAGTGAAGTAGTTGAACGTGTCGACCGCTTCACTTATCTTGGAAGTCTCATCAGCCCCTGTGGTCTGGTGTGTGACGAAATCTCAGCACGCATACAGAAGGCTCGACTAGCTTTTACCGACTTGCGTCATTTATGGCGTAGGCGAGATATCCGTCTATCAACCAAAGGACGGGTTTACTGCGCAGCAGTTCGTTCCGTCCTACTTTATGGTAGTGAAACATGGCCGGTAAGAGTAGAGGATATTCGTAGGTTACTAGTATTTGATCATAGGTGTCTTCGAAATACTGCTCGTATATCCTGGGACCACCAAGTAAGTAACACAGTTGTTGGCAAACGGGTACTAGGTAAGGATGGCAAATCAATTGAAAATAGTGAAACTTCATCAGTTAAGATGGCTGGGACACGTGTTACGTATGCCCAACCACCGACTGCCCCGATGTGCAATGTTTTATGGTGTAGGAGGAGATTTGAAGAAAGCTAGGGGTGGCCAGATCAAAACGTGGCACAAGTTCATGAAGTCACTGACAAGTGGACTGAGCCATGTTGGTAGGTGTAGACTACATGGTTGGGGACCGCGAGATGATAGCGACCGATGGCTAGAAACCCTGAATGACATGGCTCAAAATCGTTTGCGATGGCGCAGGTGTATCCACTCTGTGTTCTCCCAAATTCTAATCTTCTGAATCCTTCATATCCCTTTTTTCCTCTTTCCAAATTTGTTTCATTGGATTATACTCCTTGAATAACATCTTTAAACCCTAATGTTTCCGACTACTGCTTATACTCTTACCACCTCTACCACTATGGGATTTGAATCGACAACTGCATCTCTATGCTAATGTGGAATGGCAACTTGAACTGATGTACGTACGTACGAAGTTCTACGTTGTTACTTATTGATATGGAATGTTTAGAATTCCTTAAGTGGTTAACATAGACTTACTCATTTGGACAAGTAGAATCCAGAACTGAAGAAATTTCACTTGAACTTGCCTGAGAACAATTTATATCTAGTTGAAATAATCAATTATTATCTACCATAAAAATCTCACCTTCGAAATAAAAGTCTGGTTTGTAATAAAATGGTCCTAATAACGATTTAAAATCATCGTCTGTATCTAGCATACTTTCGGCTCTACACAACAATTCCACCCCACATATGTCTACACACTTTTTTGTAGAGTTTAAAAGACTTTTAGCTCTACTTTTATCTCCTGGAAATTTTAATGAGCTGATAATAATCAGATACTTACCTTGTTTAGAATAATAATAAGCTACAGCCGCAATCAACTGTGGATTTCGACGTCCATTTATAGAACACAAGCTCAGAAATGCAGGACCGCAGTCCGAATTCCTAAGTTTAAATTATAACTAGAATAAATAACTTACTCATATGATGCTAAAACTGCTGTTCTGATAAAAATTGTAAGATAAATTTCATCTGACCAATCCACCTCTAATGACTAGCATACAAACGTATATATATTGTTGATGTATTAACTTACATCTATAGCACTTTTATATAAATTTAAAAGTATGTTAGTCGCTGTTGACTCTCGATCCAATGATCTAACTTTTCTTTCCATATGATTGAGAAAACTAAACCAATCATTACGAGATTTTATATTTTTAGGGTCTTTAGAAGAAGGAAATGAAAATAAGCAACTTACAAGCTTTGAAAATTGCTATCTGCAAATCCCGCGATACATTTGGAAGTAGCATCATACGCTAATTGATTTGTTACTGTAGTGGACAGAGTGAAAAAATATTTATTTTTACTTAGACCTGTAATAAGAAGTTTAACGTGTGATCTCAAAAGAAAAATATATTATACAAGTTTCTCTATCAATCGACTACTTGAGCAGTAATTCAAAAAGTGTGACTAGGTTTGAGTAATCAAACCAAATTAGAAAAGTAAGGAATCAAAAAGACTAATATAAAAAGAAATATAATACTAGAGTATATGATAAATATATATATATATGCACCTTATCACATAGCTCGAAAAATAGTCAATGATACGACAGACTAGTGACACTTCGGTTTGGCCATCTATAAGTCTTCTAATATAATTCGGTGTCGCCAGTACACTGAGGTATGTAATGGCTAAGCATGCGTAACAAGTGCGCACAGACCTAAATTTGCGCTGCTTACAACACATTGAGGGAACAGTATTAAAAGTGTACTAAATGTTACTTTATTTTACAATGGTTTTACATTGCATTCGAAACAAGTTACCATATGGAATAAGACAAACAACTTTTGTGAATGAAGAGCGTTATTTCTTTTGTGTCAAGTCTGCGACGATAATAGAGGCGTTAAGTTTAGCAAAACTAAACTATGATAACAATCAAATCGATAACCCAGTAGAACATAAAGTTTAAAATACCATAAGAACAAAGTAGTACGAGAGACTCCAAATGAAATCATAGCTGAACCACAAAAGGGAAAATAAACCCGCGATGACATTGTAAATGGTAGAATGGAGCTTCAACATCACAGAGCGCATGGCCACGTCTCAAACAGCAAGACCAAGATCAGAAACATAACGCACACGGTGGGACGAAAGCATATGTACGGCCTCGAACGATTCTACTAGCAGAATGCCAAACGGTTGTTGGGTTTGAAACGAATAGATGTGAAAGTTAGGAGTAAGGGAATAAATCTACGTTTAGTGTTTTATTCACGAACTGACATTACGTCTACGAAAAGAATACTTTTTAGCCATAATAGTTTCATTTTTGAGTTCATGTAAGGCTGGTAACATGTTGTTGAGAGCTAACTTGAATTTTGTCTGTTAATATCTCAAAAGAAGGCCGTATTAAACCTTTTTAATGGTGTTTCTTCGATTGTCCAGTGCTTCAATTTCACCTTGGCCACAACCAGGTGGTGATCTGAAGCTATGTCCTCTCCTCTCTTGGTTCTCACGTCTTCCATTGACCTTCTGGATTTTTTAGTGATATAAATATGATCTATCTGGTTCTCTGTAGTGTAATACAGTGAGACCCATATAGCTTTGTGTATGCGTTCGTGGGGTAATATAGTGCTACCCATAAAAATTTTGTTGAAAGCACATAGATTTGCAAATCTCTCGCCATACTCGTCCCTTCCTTCCAGTCCATGTCGTCCCGTGATATCTTCATACTTGATGTTATCTATTCCGGCTATGAAGGTTAGATCTCCCATCAGGATGGTCAGATCCTTTCCTGGGTACTTCTGTACGATCGACTGTAGCCTCTCATAAAACTGGCTTTTATCGTCTTCCTTGATATCATTATTAGTGGTATAACGGATGGTTTACAATATTTTTTTCCTCCCATACGTATATTACAATAATACGTTAATAATCACGTTATACCAAAATCAGGATTCGCGACTGAAAATAGAGAACCACATTAAAACTAGAGAATACCTTATTCAATACAATGACAAGCGGTCACACGGTGATTCTCGAGTGGAAATCCATGATAAAAGGAAAATCGCATATTTAATAAACCGTGGGTTGTGGTCGTTTGTCCATGTTTAACGACTAACCCTACCCATACTTTCACTACCACACATCAGTTAGGTGCATAGAACTGGGTAACATCTACTGTGATCCCCTTTGTTTTGACGATATTTCGATTACCCTGGACTCATGAGATTCCCAACCTATAAGTGTACGTGCTTCTTTCGACAGAATCAGCACAACTGCTCGTGTGAGAAGCATTTTCTTCTTCATGACAGAGTACAACAGCATTTCCCGAATCTATGCTTTTCTGTCCAGCTTGGGTTTAATGGGTTTTATTTAATCCGAGCATCGTCAATTTGTATCTCCTCGTCTCCGTAGCTATTCGAATAGTCCGCCCGATCTCCCACGATGCCCGGACATTCCAAGTACCTACATTAAATGTTGCTCTGGTTGTCAGAAGGGACATAAGCCTCGTGACTTCCGAAGAATTTCGGCTTTCACCATGAGATGTAATTTTTATTAGTGGAAACCCTCCAACTCCCATAGCAGAGTTTAAATGGTTCAAATTGTCTTTTTCCGCTTGTAGACCTGGGGTTAGTGACAGATTTAAGCCCAGGCAAAGGAGGGTTGGGCATAGGATCGGCAACCCGTGCAGTAGAAAGAAGCCTCGATAAAAAGCGTTGGGGTACCGCTTAGAAAACCTAAATTTAAAGACTAAGAAAAGCAGATCTTTTATATAGACGAAAACGTCCAGTGGAAGACAAGAGACCATCGCTTAATAGTTCCAAAAGTAGGCGAACAAACTAACGCGAATCGAAAGACATTTATGTATAAAATGGATTTAAGGACCAACAAATAACGTTTGAGGATTTAGGAAAACCTTTGACATTGATTCATATACGGGCTAGTCATTCTAAACAAGTCGTCAACGACCGGATATCTGCAATCTACAAGTAGTCCTTACCAAAAGTAATAGTGATGTGCTAATAACCAATATATTCGCCATATTCTGGGGAAAAATATGGTATAATAAGGTGAGTAACAACTTTGAGTCGCTCAATATCAAGGTTTTGTTAGTTAAGATCTGAAGATGAATGGATTGGTTGCCTTCGTCGACTATCTCACACTCGTTAATCAAATTGTAAACATAGTGAGGTTAGACGCAGGGTATTAGGGAATGATGGTAAATCAGTTGATGAAGTTGTGAATCTTCATCGACTGAGATGGTTGGGCCACGTGTTACGTATGCCTGAACACCGATTACCACGAATCCTAGTCTCAGCCATGTTGGTAGATGCAGAATACTTTGTTGGGGTCCGCGTGACTATCGTAACGAATGGTTGGAGACTGTGGGTGACATGACTGAGAGTCGATCACAATGGCGTCGGTGTATACACTCTCTTTCTTCCCTTAAACTAATAAATTGAAATCGCTTCATATCTTTCTTTATACGAACTAATTCCTTCTTCATGTACTATATCCTTATTGTAATCTTTCTTCTATATATTACCACCTCTGAATTAACTACATTTATGAATCCGGTGTCCATCTTGTTGTGTTAATGAGGTATGGCAACTTGAACCGATGCATATATGTGCCTGGTTCTACGTTGTAGCTGACTGATTAACCCTCAAAATAATAACTTACAACCCAAGTAAAGTACGCTGAACGCCAAGTTTTTGCGCGATGCTTTTACAAAGGATTTTAGCATAGTCGAAAAACGACAATATCCTAAGTAATAACATCCAACCAAATAACTTAAATGTGATACCATTTTCATACGTCTGGAGTACACCAGGGCGATTGTCAACAACAAACATTATTGATGAAAAACTGATTTTTGTCGGCATCAATGACAGGTTTGCAGAAGTTCTAACATGAACGTCTGTAAAATTGCAGAACTCCGTGTAGGATCTACAGCACTTGATAGTATTGTTTCGATTAAATTATTAGATTTACCCTAGCAAATAAGGAAAACAGATGATACGTACACTGCCAGCTAATTATGTGAATATGGGTGATGGCCAAGTTGAAAACTTCTACCAGTATCGGCAGTTTTCGAGAACACCTGTAATTATGTGTGGGTATTAACCCACATTTCCCGAAAAATACAAACCTACCAACGTCTCTATTCGGAGCGAATTTTCTGTCCCATACAACGGGAATATTTTGAATGGAAGCCAAAGGCCAACGGGCATTTTAGGTGTTGTTGCATTCCCTCAAATGGAGTTTTCACAAAATCGACTAATTTCTCCTCGAAGTTCAAATGGTTGTGGACGGAATAGAAGTTTTCGCTTAACGGGCTTACGTATCTAGTATCAAAAAGAGCACCCTTGAACTAGGCGAAAAATAATGAACGTATCTAAGTAAACGAATGGAAATATGGACACGTCGTAGTGAACAGTGTTGGTCTCATCTAATAAAATATATATATTTCATGAAATTACTCGAAATAATTCCATATATACGGAGCTGCTTGTGAAGCTATGCAGCAGTCACAACAAATTTAAGGAATGTGAAATGACATCAGTGTTCCGTGACACATCATAGGAGAATAAAATAAAATGTCGGATTTTTTGCAATGGAAAAAAACAGAGCACTTGACAGAGGAGTACAAAAACAATAAAATACCCTGAAATCCACAACTAGCGCTGAAACATAGGTCGCGGGAGTCATGATACGTTTAAACAATGGTTCCAGCGGTTGTGAATGGGACAGAAAAAGCTTCCACTTAATGAGACTTGTTTTTAGTAGCGACGGGTCACTGGAGCCTTGCGTCAGGCATCTCGGTGTATAATACGAACAGAATTATTGTAGATGGACAGTAGATTCAAGTATAAATCCTATCCATGTGTTATGTTGAGCATCCATCAGAAATAAACGTCTTGTGTTTTAAAAGATTATTCTCCTCAACATATCTTCATGGAACGCAATATAAGCCGCCTTCATCTTCAGGGTTAACTACACTGTGGATACAGCCATAGTAAAACCATCTCTTGGTTTTAGACGAAGATAGCTTGGCGTTATCAAAGAACTAATTTCAGCACCTCAAAACTCAAGGAGGATCTCAGTTTGTTAGACGCTTTTCTCGCTACTAGAATGGAAGACAATACTTGAGAACAAGTACGCAGACCGAGGACAAAACGGGAGATGTGTCTATGACCAAATTATTTACAAATAGGCATCAGCTCGGTTTTTCTTGCACGGTTACGGAAATGAGTGCGGTTCCACTATTTATCAGCAAGAATTTGGACTTGTAACAGCTTAGGTTGGT